ATAGACAGAATAGCTTTTATTATCTTTATAGGACTTTGACTAAAATCAGTTGTGATGTCACATAATTAGTCCCTAATTTTCAGTAATATACTTGAGTATCAATTAATGGTGGCTTACTTCCCTCAGACCTGCAGATTTTCTTTTAGGTACAAATACTGAAATACAGTTTTACTCTCCAGTGATCATTCAGAAAGATGGTTAAGGTTTCTTTATTACTTTTCCTATTGTTTTTGTTTGTTATTTTTATTTGAATTCTACATATGAGCATGTATTTTGGTAGCCTTCAGCTCATTGTTAAACTTATTCTAGACTTTATTAACCACTGAATAGTTTTGCTCTACTTTATTTGTAGAGTAGTTCTTTAGATTGAGGGGGAATGGTGGCGTAGTGAGAAGGGCTCGATTCCAGCATACTGGTAATGCAAGAACTTTTTATATTTATTGGTTGTAATGATGGAATTCTGAAGTTAATACAATATGCTTATTTTTTGTGCTCTCGGCTAAGTAGATGTATATGTTGTTCTAGTAGCCTCTGATGAGTTTCATATGATATGATAATGTTGATACACATTCTTTTTTGTTTGTGTGGTTGGAGGGTATGGGGACTTGGATTCTAGGCCTCATGTCCTCACATGACTTCTTCCACTCATATCTAGGCTCTACCACTGGAGACATATGTCCACTTCCAAATTTTTCTTGGTTTGTTAGATATGAGAGCCTCATTGATTTTTGTCTGCTTGGGCTGGCTTTGTACCTAGATTCTCAGATCTTTCTTAGCCTCCTGAGTAGCTAGGATTACAGGCATGAGCCAACACTGCCTAGCCTTTTCATCTCTTTCATGAGAGAATCTTGTATTCCTGAGTAAAGGAAACAAAGTATTTCTGGGTTTATTTTGTGAACAGGTTGAATTTGACATTAAGTAGATGTAGTGTCTATATTTGTGGAAATGCTGTAAGCACATATGTATGCACATGTGTAAATGTAACCTCTTTGTATAACTAATAATGCTAATAAAACTTTAAAAATGAATGGAAATGTTATGTTGAATTGTCTTATGATCTGCCTTTATATGTACAGAAGTTTCACTTAATGTGTTTTTGCTTTCTGTAGTTTCAGTTATCTTTGATCCACTGAAGTCTGAAAATACTAAATGGAAAGTTCCAGTAATAATTTGTTAATTTTAAACTGTAGATCAGTCTGTGTAACATGATAAAATCTCTTGCCATCCTACTCAGCCTCACCTTTGATAAGAGGCAGACATGAATTATCTCTTTGTATATTGTATCCACACTATATGTACCACCTGCTGTTTAGCTATGTTGTAGTCAGCTTAGTTATCAAGTGGACTGTAGTGGTATAATAGCATTTAATTTAATTTAATTTAATTTTACTTTAATAATGGCAACAAAGTGCAATGTAGTGATATAGACAACTTGGAAAAACCAAAGGAAATCTGCAAAGTGTTTCCTTTACTTAAAAAGGTAAACATTCTTAAGGGGAAAAAAATCTGCTGAGGTTGCTAAAATTTGCGTGAAGTTGTTTATCTCTTTTCTGTGCCTAATTTATAAATTAAAGGCTATCGTAGGTATGCATACATAGAATATATACATAATAGTTATCTCATAGCAAAACTATGATATCAAGGTTGTCTAGGCTAAGCAATTGAATGTGGATCACAGTGAAAAATCACATATTCTTTTAAAAAATAATATCCTACATGATGGTTAGGTTTGGGGCTGATTTTTTGAAAAGCATTTTTCCTTTTGTTTATTTTTTGCCAGTCCTGGGGTTTGAACTCAAGGCCTGGGCACTGTCTCTGAGCTTCTTTTGCTCAAGGCTAACACTTTAGCACTTGAGCTACATCATCACTTCCAGCTTTTTTTTTTTTTTTTTTGTCGGTCATGGAGCTTGAACTCTGGGCCTGGGTGCTGTTCCCTTAGCTCTTTAGCTCAAGGCTAGCACTCTACTGCTTGCCACAGTGCCACTTCCAGCTTTTTCTGCATACATGGTATTGAGGAATCAAACTCAGGGCCTCATGCATACAAGGCAAGCACTCTACCACAAAGCCACCTCCCCAGCCTTATTTTTACTTCTTTTCAGACAGGGTTTTATTATGTAGCCCAGGTTGACCTCGAAACCCCCTCTCCCCGTCTTCATGATCATGCCTTATTTCCCCAGTGCATGAAAAGCACTTTTTAATGTGAAGTTCTGAGCTAGACCTAGACAAGTAAGTATGTTAAGTCTTGTTTTTTTTTCACCTGTTTTATGAGGATCATGATGGTTCTTGCCTCTCAAAGTGGTTGTAACAATCATGAAAAGGACTCGGTACAATGCTTGGCATATAGATTACTTGGTATTTGCTGGGCTTACTACTAGAAAAATCAGCTGCTTTTAAACCACATTTCTCTTAAAGAATTCATTTTAACAGCATTCTTCAGCTGTTGGTTGGAGTGCTTCCTTCGTTGCCTTCCTATCAAAGGAATTAGTCTTTTTTCTTTCCTTTCTTACTTCATGTGTGGAAAATCACGTAGTTTTAAAGTACTGTTGCTGATTCCTGTGGTTAGATTAGGACTTAACTAACATGGCATTTGGGGTTGTGAAGTTTTTTACGCCATTCAGGATTAACATGGTCCAGAACTGTCCTGTGGTCTTCGGGAGTACGGAGTATCTAATCCTTCTCACTCTGGTAGCCTGTGATCCACTCTGCTCTGTTCCATCCTTTTCCCCCTGCCACTCATTCTTGTTTTGTTTTGCTATATTTTTGTTGCCTGCTGAAGAAGAGAATAAAAACAAACAGGTGTTGACCTTGAAAACATTTTTTTAAAACCATTGATAACAGAGGCTGGGAGAATAATTCCTACAAGGTCTATTTGGTACCTATATTAGTGGTGGGAGGAGAATGAAACTGCCATGTGTAGTGGGGTTTCTGAAATGACAGCAGGGCAGAAGGAAGGCAATTTCCAGAGCAGTTTTGTACAGGGTAGCCTGTACTTTAGTATTATGTGTCAAATAATGCACAGGTTAGTTCAGGTCTTCACATTTGAAGGGCTGCAGAAGTTAAGTTATGTGACCTGTGGTAACAGAAGAACAAAAGGAATAATAAAAAAGAAAGGGGCTGAGACATAAAAGTTTATCTGAGGTGTTAGGATTGTTTAGAAGAAAAAGAAGACCTAGGTTTTTAATGATACTATGTAAACAGTGCAATTATTTACTGAGGGACCTACAAAATAATTGTTAAAACTAAAACTTTTTCTAGAACTCTATGTGTACAATATAGTAAAAAATAAAAAAGCTTCTATTACCTTCTCTGTCGAGCACCTTTCTTCTTGGAGAAATTGTTATTAATGTTCTTCCTCCATAGAAATTGAGAGTACCTTGGCAGCCACTTATATTTCTTCTTCCTCATCCCTGAAAATGTGAATGATAGCATACTACGTGTGCTGTTCTACATTTTTACCTCTTTCTTTTGCCTTCATATATGTTTGTCTCATTTTTTATTCCATATCATGATCATTAGGCCCGCTTTGTGTTCTCATTTATTCACAAGTAATGTGAGTGGATATTGAGTGATTTAATTTTGTATTTGATTTTAATGAGCGAGTTAGATTGGTTTTTTGATGTTCTCTCTTGCAATTATAAAGTGCACTACAATGAATATTCCTATTTATTCCTATTTATGTCTTATTTCTATTTCTGAAAATAAGATGGTTTCCTAGAAGAGAAGATTGCTGGGCAATTTATCCACAGATGTCTCTGTATAACATGTTAAGGAATTTTTCCAAATTACCTGTTGTCAAGAGCAATTTGTTTCCTAAATTTATTCCCAGACTTGACAACGAATTTTAGTTTCTGGCAAGTAGACTAAAAAGTACATCCATTTTCAGAGCAGCGAGATTAGAACAGCACATATGTAACTTGTACTTTTGTAGGAAGGAAAAGGTGTTGTATAAGCAAAGTAAGAAGTTCAAGAGCAGCCCAATGAATGCAATTTTCTCCATCTTCCCCTTTTTCTTTACTTCCACTCTCTCTCCTCCTTTCTACATGCCCTCCCTCTGTTTCTTCTTCCTTTCTTTTTCCCTTAAAAATATGCTTAGATTTAATGGAAAGCCATGGCTCGGCTGTTGGTTACTGCTCAGTAGAAGACAAATAACCATGACTATGTGACCTGGCAGTGATTGGCACCAGTGTGGCTGTTTTCAAAGTAACGTTATCAACAGTGTTAAAGATGCTGTAATTTTTACTCATTCTTAGTCAGTTTTATTGCTAGCATGGATGTCTGCAGTATAATTTATTTTATTTTATGTTCAACTGATGGCAGTCATTTTTCTTTAACGAACTATAAACAAGCTAAATTTTTGGGTTTTGGTTTTTGGTTTTGTTTTTGCTTTTTTTTTTCTTTTTACCTCATGCTGCACTCCTAAGTGAAGGTCTATATGGTATTATTACTGAGAGGACTGGTGTAGAAGGCGTGGGCCTAGGCAGGTGCTTAGATAATGCCTATCTTCTCTATTCATCAGTATCATCCTTAACTCAAGGTCTGTAACTGTGCTTCACATTGTATCTGGCTCCGAACTCCTTTATGTATAGATATGCTTTGTAGCCTTCTGTTTATTTGTAGTATATCTGAGATTGAAAAGGATATAAATAAATGCTTGGTTTTTGAAAATACCTATTTCAAACTTATTTCCTGGAAGTTTGGGGAAGAGAAAAATAGTTATTAAAGTGAATAGTGAAAAATCACCATCAGTTGGACTCTGCTTTTGGTATGTAGGTCATAGAGCCTAAGGCAGTGGGAGGGTCTGAGATGTGACAGGTGCAAAGTCAGATGCAGTGAGTGTGCTCTTGGGATTTCCTGTCTGTCCCCAGTGGTGATGAAGCCAGCACCGTCACTCACTTCTGGTGGAGCAGCCACACACCTGAGTGTGCAGCAGTAGAGCCGAAGCACCTCAGCCTTGGTGCTCTCTATCCCATGCCTTGACATTTAAAGTTTTGAAATACAGGATGGAGATAGAGTGTGAGAGTAGCACTTCAGGGGATGACAGTGTCTTTTGGTTGGATTCTGAAGTTATGATCCAGCTGACTGATGGAGAAGAGGAAGAAGGGGAAGAAAACTTCAGGTAATTAAGGAATGTGAGTTTTTTCTCTCCTTTTTTATCCCTTGGCTCTTGCCTCTTAACCCTCCTTCCATCATCTTCAGTCTTTTTCAGTAAGTATTTTCTCTGGGAGAAGGCTTGGGGCTGAAAGGAACAGGTTTTGAGTTGTATAGAGCATTCTTTTTGCAACTTGCCACGAGCTTGTAAGATGTATTTTCAATGACTTGTTAGAACACCACGCAAGAAGGAGTTAGACAGGTTTGGTAGTAGCATTTCAGGAATTTCAAGTAGGGACTCATAATGAACTACTAGTACTTTTCCTGTGTCTGATTTGTATCTCATAGATTTGATCTGAATTTGTATCTAATAGACTTCTCCTTTTTTTTTCTTAGAATGTGTTCTGGAGTTTATGTGTTTGTTTATGTGTGTGCATGCAAGTACAAACTCACCTGTCTGCCAGCTTTGTTAGCTTATGCATGTGTGTGAAACCACTTGATTAAGTACGAATTGGTTATTTTGACCCTTTTTCTTGTCTCTGACCTTACATTCCACCTCCTTACCCATCCCTAAAACTTTCTAGGTTTTTGAAATCTGTAGTGATAACTTCATAATGAAACATTTTAGAAGATACCTCCTGGTTAAATACCTCTCAAGAGGTTAGTGTTACTGGTTATGAAAGAGTTCTTACCAAAGCTTGTGAAAATGGTGCTAGTTGTCAGTTACTTCTGTTGTATTAAAAAATTCAGGAAGCTTTATTCTAGCTTTAAAAATTCAGACAGGGCTAGTAACTGAATATTTTTGTAGGTATTAAAATATCTTGATGAAGCTTGAGGTTTGTACTACGTATTATCAGTACCACCCACGTGGGCAATTAAATGTCTTATAATTTTAGCAATGAGTACTTGGGAAGGTGAACATATCATTTGCTTCAGATACTGTCTTTAATGTTTAAAAAGAGTCTCTCTGAAGTTAAAGGATTTCTTTATATACAGAGTTGATTTTTAAAATGTAGGTACATAACAAGGAAGATATTATATGTTAGGAATTCTTGATAGCCTACACTGAATTTGTTGATCAGGACTTAAAATAAATGAGAAGTGTATTTAAAATGTTAGAAGAAGCCAGGCGCTTGTGGCTCATACCTGTAATCCTAGCTACTCAGGAGGTTGAGATCTGAGGATTGTGGTTTGAAGCCAGCCCTGGTAGAAAAGTTCCTGTGAGACTCTTATCTCAAGTTAACTATTCAAATACTGGAAGTAACACGGTGGCTCAAGTGGTAGAGTGCTAGCCTTGAGCACAAAGAGGCTCAGAGACAGTGACAAGGCCCTGAGTTCAAGCCCCACAACCAAGAAATAATAATAATCATAATAATTTTAGAAGAATAATTTAATATCCAAAGTATCTTACTACTTTATTAATACCAAATATAGTTGTATGTGCTGCTGTTACATATATCCTGTAATTTTGAATGTTGTCAGAATCTTCCTAACAGGTAGTATTTGTTTTGTTGATGTTGAAACTGTTTGACCTATTATAATTTTGTAATTTTCTGCTATTTGTCAAAGAAAGAAACAACTTGAATTTATTTTGATGATGCTTTATAATAGTTTCAGTACTAAAATTTTAGATTTATTTGTTAAGCAACGAAAGTTTCTCTGGTACTTTGTGTTCACATTTACAAGCCAATCTGTGTAAAGTGGTTCCTTTTCCCCTCAGGAGTATGTGACAGTATATTGATACTGAGAAAATGAGCCTAGTGTATGCATGTTTGAAGATGCTGCGGTTCATAGGACATTTGTTCATATTACCTAGCAGGACATTTCCATAGGTCTCCCAAATCCAAGATGTCTTTGAGATTTGGTCTTATTTACAAATGCCACAAAGTAAGGTGGTAAAGCCTCATTTTTCACCTATTCAGCAGTTAGGCATGAGGAAGGATGGCAGTAGAGGGCTTTCACAACATGCACAGTGTGTTCCTGCTGAATGCCCAACAGAAAAATGTGTGTGGGTGTGGAAGGTGAAGGGTTGGATAGGAGGAGCCATAGCTGTCACTTGGGAGAACCAAACAGTACACTGTGTTAGATGAGAATTGTTTTTTTATAAAATCAGTTTACTAAGTAAATGTGTATATAAAAGTTGTAGTTTGTTTCTTTAAAATCTGTATAAATATACATGAATCTCTTGAAAGAATTAGCACCGTGTCATTTGAGGCCCATGGCTAGGAGAGTCAAGTCACTTGCACCTAGAATGTAGGCTTCTGGTGGCTCTAGCTATGATTTGCTTTAGGGGGAAGCACATTAAAGGTAATCTTCCTCTACCAGCTTTTAAGAAACTGTTTAAAGCAGTAGTTCAGACTCTCCTACCACTGACAGAGTTCTTTCATTTGTATTATGAAATTAACCTGTGTTGCTGTGTACTTTATCACTGTGGCAAAAATAACCTAGCCTATTTAGAGGGTCTCACTCCTTGAAAAAGAATCATCCTGTAGTCATGTGATGGGGATGTAGCTCAGTGGTAGAGTGGTTGCCTAGCATGTGCAAGTCACATCTAATCTAGAAGAATTCAGTAAGAAAGGAGGAGCAATATGACAGAAAAGAAAAACGTTAGTGTTTTAATTCTGCCAGAGATAAAAAGACAACTAGGAGTTGTTATGTACAATTGTCCTAGGATAAAGATGTTATATACAGGGTATCTGTTGATTACATATAAACCTTATAAATTAGATCATATCTTTTCATTCCCAGATAAAGTAAAACTTTATACATGATAAAGCCCAACTGTAATTGACTTTGAAAGTGAAACCGTTTTAGAAAAAGTTTGTTCTGTTTTTACAGATGTTAATCTCTGCAAAATGCTAACATCCAAGAGGGCTAAAGCTGCCTTCTCAGATTTGAAATGCCATCTTTGCCATACTCTTTATATTTGTGAAATAAATTATGTCCAACATAAAGATTCAGTTAGGAAACACCATATTGTGACAGTGTAAGAATGTAACTAGGGGCTGGGAAGGTGGCTTAGTGGTAGAGTGCTTGCCTTGCATGCATGAGACCCTGGGTTCAATTCCTCAGCACCACATAAACGGGAAAAAAAGCCATAACTGGTGCTGTGGCTCAAGTGGTAGAGTGCTAGCCTTGAGCTGAAGAGCTGAGGGACAGCACCCAGGCCCAGAGTTCAGGCCCCACAACTGACCAACAAACAAAAATGTAACTTTGAGTCACCTAGGAATTACCATTTACTCAATGTTATGGAAGGCTCTGACTGCCACTGGGAGGTAGACATGTTAATAATATAATCTTCTTTAGTTTCTCTTTCTTGTTATTAGTATTAGACAGCCTAGTAAGTAACATGTAATTTGAAATTATGACACATATAATATAGTATACAACTTGGGCATACTTTTTGTATTTTTTTTTTTGGTCGGTCGTGGGGCCTGAGCTCTGGGCCTGGACACTATCCCTCAGCTCTTCAGCTCAAGGCTAGCACTCCACCACTTGAGCTACAGCACCACTTCCAGCTTTTTTCTGCTTATGTGGTGCTGAGGAATCGAACCCAGGGCCTCAATTATGCAATGCAAGCACTCTACCACTGAGCCACCTTCCCAGTCCAGGCACACTTTTAAAACTTTTTAGATTTTTAATCTGTAGTTGCTCAAATCTTTCAAATCTTCACCTGTATCTGCATTGAGAAGAGAAATTTCTGACTCCAGTTAATCTGGATGATTAGGTGAATAAACTTCAAATCTGAGGTGGGGCAGGGAATGGCTTAACTAGTTTTTGGCACTGTAGGATCAGTAATATTTCCTGCACTTGTCTAATTTGTTGCTTCATTTCTTCTTTCACTTACTTGGATTGATGCCTCAGGTTAGAAGATACTATACAAACCAAATAGGTAACAAGAGCTGTTTTGCTCATATCTCACTGTTGGTGCTCTATCACTCAAGCTTCCAGTTCTGGCTTTTTGCTGGTTAATTGGTGACCAGAGTCTTATGGATTTGTCTCCCTGGGATGGCTTTAAACTGCAGTCCTCAGATTTTAGCCTCCTTGAGTAGCTAGAATTACCAGCAAGAGCCTGGCAGTTTTCTGTTTTTAATGTAAAATACATCAAGCCATTATCTTAGCAAGATTACAGAGTAAATGAAACCTTCCTGGATGCTTGATTTGGGGGCTTCATTACATGTTTACTTTTCTCTAATGATTAATTTTCCTTTCCATGTTCTCATTTGGATAGCTATATTCTCTATTATTATTTGAAATAGAACATGTTATTTTACTCAGATGTTATGTTTTCCTGTCCTGTTTCTTTTATCCTCTATTCTCTACCTCATAAGTTAAGAACTTAGAGTAATTTTACTTTCTTATTTTCTCAGTACCATTCAAAGATTTTAGAATTCTGGTTACTCCCATCCTACCCATCCCTGATATTTAGTTGAGAGCTGTTTTTTTTTCTTTTTCTTTTTTGGTACAGGGCTTGAACTCTGGCCTCTTGCTCTCCCTTGGAATTTTTTTTGCTCTAGCACTTGAGCCATGCCTCTACTTTAAGCTTTTGCTGATTAATTGGAGATAAGAGTCTCACTGGCTTTTCAACCAGGGCTATCTTCAAACCTCAGTCCTCAGATCTTAGCCTCTTGAGTAGCTATAGGCAAGATCTACTGGCTTCTGGCTTAGTTTAGGTTTCTTGATTTTCTCAAGTATTTTGTCCAAATAATTCCTAAGAATACTTTAATTTCTTATGATTCAGTCTTTGTTTTCCATTGTTAAATGTGTTAGTCAACTTTTCATTGCTATAACAACTACCTGAGACAAATAAAAGGATGAAAGTTTATTTTGGCTTACGATTTCAGAGGCCTCATCATGGTCAGTTTTGGTCCATTGATATTGGTTCTGTTGCAAGGTATCATGGCAGTGAAAGGAAGGGGCAGTGACAGAGGAGGCTATTCCTCAAGCCTATCAGGAAGCAAAGAGAAAACCTGGAAGAGGCTGAGTGGAATCACAAGATCTCTTCAAGGGGATCTAACTTTCTTTCATTAGAAAGGTTATACCATCTCTCCATAGTGGCACAGCTAGAGACCAGCCTTATTATAAGGTCATTGGGGAATATACTTAAATCCAGACTATAGCAGTTGGTAACTTGTTCATTCTACCAAAATACATGTTTTTTTAAATTGGTCCTGGGCTTGAACTCATGACCTGGGCGCTGTCCATAAGCTCAAGGCTAGTACCTTCCAACTTGAGCCACAGCTTCACTTCCCATGTAAGTGGGTTTTTTTTATCCTTAGTTACATATCTAGGACTTTTACTCTTTAGCTTGGAGATAAAATAATATTTGATACTAATAAAATATCAATATTTTATTAATTAAAATTAACATTTGAGTATCCATTAATAAAAATTAATTAGCTATATTAATCATAAATGTTTTTGATAACTTGATAAAGTTAATGTAATTCTTTTTACCAATGTATGCATCTCTCTTTCTCTCTATGCTTTGCTCTGGGGAAGTTAATGGCTTATGATCCATTGCATTTCTGGAGAAGTCTGTCTTTCTAGAGAGACTTAAGTTTGTTGGGTTACCCTGAGGCTTCAGTGATCTGATGTGTTTGATATGTTTCATATCTGATATAAAAAATTAGATTTTTCAGATTATCTGCGTTTTCCTTACTGGGATGGGAGTTACAGGTTTCTGCCTTATAAGCAGAAGCACAAATGCACCATAGCTATTTTAATGACCCTTTTTGATAATACTTCAATCTGAATTCAAATGAGTCTGGATAACAGATAATACAGATGAAAAATTTTCAGAGAATGACTTTTCTTCTAAAGAGGGTTAATAATTTGGCACTTTTGATCCTGTCAAGAATTTGTTTTTAGGCCTCCTTAGTGTTTGTCTATTGCTTTTCTTCCCTAACTCTGAAGATGTGCTTTTCTGGGATCTTAGTTCAAGTTTGTTATTTTTGTTTGTTTGTTTTTTGTTTTTGGTGCAGCTCCATCTTATCACTGCTTGCTATCCAACCTGTCCTCACTACTACTGGGCTGATGAAATGTCTAGTTGTTTTTTATTTTTTACGTTTGAATGACTTTCTTGACATGTTTACTGTAGCTAACAAACTTTGAAGCCAGTTGTTGATTTAAGGTATATTCTTTTTATTACCCACTTTGGAAACCCAACCTCTACATTTTCAGTCCAACTAAGATTGTAGTATTGGGCTGGGAAGTTGGCTCAGTGGTAGAGTGCTTGCTTCGCATGCATGAGGCCCTGGGTTCAATTCCTCAGCACCACATAAGCAGAAAAAAGCCAGAAGTGGCTCTGTGGTTCAAGTTGGTAGGGCACTAGCCTTGAGCTGAAGAGCTGAGAGACAGTGCCGAGGCCCAAAATTCAGCCCCCACGAATGACCAAAAAAAAAAAAATAGTATTATACTTGGGCTGTATTTCTATCATTGATTTGGAATTTTTTGCATGCCAGAACAAAAGATTAAATGCAAAATTCATTTCATTGGTCGTTTTTCTTCTTAAAGATTTTACTCTAATGGGGTGGGGTGTATCAGTGGCTAAGCATTTGCCTAGCAAATGCAATATCCCTAGTAACAAAAAAGAAAGGACAGGGAGGGGGGTGGGAAGCTGGGAAGGGATGTGAAGGGTAAACAAAGGAGGAGGCAACAATGCTTGATAAGAAATGTACTCATTATCTTGCCCATGTAATTGTACCCCTCTGTACAGTATTTTCACAATAAAAAAATTAAAAAAAAGACAAAAAAAAGTTTTAAAAAGCCAGGTACCAGTGATTCATGCCTCTAAACCTAGGTACTCAAGTGGCTGAGATCTGAGGATCATGATTCAAAGCCAGTGGGGCAGGGAAGTCTGTGAGACTCCAATAAACTACCAGAAAACTGGAAGTGGTAATGTGGCTCAAACTGGTAGAGCATCAGCCTTGAGCATAAGAGCTCAGGGACAGTGCCCAGGCCTAAGTTTGAGTTCCATGACTGGAAAAAAAAATGTGCTCTTGGAAGTGCCACATGTTTTAGTTGCTTTTCAGTGTCTTTAGACAAATAATTTGATATATTTTACCAGCATTCACAGTTGTTCTTATTGAGAGTAGTACTTTGATGCATTTATTTATCAGAACAATTTCATGGACATGGACATACTCATAAGAATCTCTCATGTTTTGATCTCTAGGAAGATGAAGTCTTCAATACATTCTGAAGAGGATGATTTTGTTCCAGAACTACATAGAAATGTTCACCCTCGAGAGCGGCCTGATTGGGAAGAAACACTTAGTGCAATGGTAAATCTGTTATGTTTGTATGTGTGTACGTTGTACTTATATAATAACATGGAACTGAAGAAGCATTATTCACCAAAAATGTACAGTTTTTTGCTTTGTTAATTGATTCAGGAAGTATTTATTGAACAAATACTTCAATTTAGGCATTGTTGTAGACTGTGGGCAGAGTTACTGGGTTTGAACGGCTAGATAATGTGACAAAATGGTTGCTGGTTATGTAGGATTATGAAAATCTCCCTCATTTTAGGAAGATTTTATGTTTAAGATTTTTTTAACTAAATTATTTTCTTTGTTTGATGAGATTTGAGCAGGCACTTGGATGTGAAGGAGCAGGCCATGTATTTATCTGAGCCTACATCATTTTAGGCAATGGAGTTAAAGGCTGTGGTTTAAAGGCAAGCTGGAACAAACACAAGTAGGGGAAATTAGCTGGAACTGAAATTTCTTGTGGCTGAATTACCTGGAGCAAGAGGAAGAACAGGAAGAGACAAGATCAATGAAGTAGTTTTAAGTAGATGGAGAGCAGACTATACAATTTCTTATAGTCCATTGACAAGAACTTTGTTTTTTAATGCTGAGTGAAATGGAAACCATTAGAGGATTTTTGACAAGGAGATAACATGATCAAGGTTAGAATTTTAAAGGAAGTCTTAGGTTGTTGTGAATAGGGGATGGGCAGAGGAATAAGGGTGTTATAGTTGGTAAAATAGTGGTGGTAGCTTGAATGAGAATAGAAATAGTTATAGTTACAACTGGCGATATTCTCAATATACTTTTTGTAGATAATGCCAATAGTTATTGTTTATGAAGGATGACTTCAAGATTTTTGACCTTCTTAACCTGAAGAATGGAATATATACTTACTGAGTTGCTGGTAAAACAGTGTATGTTGAGGAATAGATGGAAAAAACAAGCATAATTTTTTTTACAAAATCTGTTTGATTTGCACATGTACTTTATCAGAGCCTTTTAAATTTAGGTCTATTAATAATTTATATTTTAGGTCTATTAATAGGGACAATGAAATTATTTGTGGGAATAACATTATTTAGTTGTGGTTCTGTCAGCAAAACAGTGTAACTGTTTATCTGTTAGTGCTGATTTATGTAATTTTAAATATTTCATTTTTCAAAATGTCTTTCATTATTTAAATGCTATTTAAGCATCCACAACATGGACATAAGTTTCTAAGTACATGATCCTAATTGGGCATTTTTCAGCACTAGTAGAATTCTATAAGATTCTCCTGTTTATATTTGCCTTTTACCATCTCATTGTATTTCAGATTAATCATTTACAATTGAAGATTAGGTGGAGTTGTTTTCAGTTGCACAGTTAAATGGGATTTGCAATATGAAATTTACTTTGCACTTACATTATGCTTTGAAAATCCCTTCTGAGCCTTCATTTTGAGCTTGAAAAAAATATTTTACAACAAATTTGCATGAGCATGAAAATCACCCTTATTTTAGGGAGATTTTATTTTTCCCTTATATATTTAAGTAAATAACTTACCTTGCTTTTCTTGCTTGACTAACAAATGAGCTACTAACAGATTTTCTTAGATTATAATCTTGTTGTTATTTTGTGTTTTAGTGAAAAAGTCTGGTTGGTAACATGCTGTTTTATTATTTTTGAGTTTTTCAGAGTGTTATCTTTCTGTAAGTTGAGAATATTGTGGTGAATGCATAATTTAGTTGAAAAAGTATAGGCAGTAGCTTGTAACTGGGAATTTTAAATTCAAAATTTAAATTTAAATTGAAAGAGTTTATCATAATATTTCTTACATAATCTGTATTTTACCTTGTGATTTTAGGTTAAAATCATCAGAACTATATCAAGACTACAGCAAAATATGGTTACCAAAGCAATTTAATGTTCAGGAATAGAAGTTAAAAATATGTCCAACTAAGTCTTTTTCCACTTCATATGCATTATACCAACATCACTTGTAGTGTATCATAGTATATTCCACTTCAGTTGTACTGAATCAGTGTTTTTTCGCTATTCATGAGTATTCTATCCTCCAGATATCCTGCAGATACTGTTCATAAGGGCTAATTCTTCAGTTACTTCCACAATACTTGAAGCATCTGGTTATATTTGTTCACTCATGAAGAGATAAGGAAAACTACTTGAAATCATTTATCTTATTTTCAAATTGACTACTAATAATCTCTCCTAATGGTCTCAACCCTTCAACTATTCTCATCAAAATGACCAATGAACTTAAGCCAGTGTTCTTTTTTTGGGCACATTTCTTTGGCTATTGCAATTAGACATAATTTAGTTGATTCGTAGTTGTAAATGGCTTTCCTTGCTTGGCAAACTAATGAGCTACTTAAAAATATACTGAAGTTATAAGATTGTCAGTATATTATATTTTCTTGAATACATTCTGGATTGTGATATATATTATGTTTTATAGTTTAAATTTCTTTGGAGTGTTGCTTTCCTGTGAGTTTAGAATATTTCGGTCAGTGCATAGTTTAGTAATGTTGGTGTACATTTTGTTCTTTTAGAATGACCATAGTGTCACTGTGTGGTAAACACAATGTTTGCTGTATAATTTGGTCACAGAAGAGTTGACATTGTGTTGTTCCTTAAAAGGGTGATATTTAAAATTCCCTTATCTCTTCTTTTTTAAAAAAATATTGTAAAGGTGTTGACAGAGGGGTTACAGTTATTAAGAGATTTTATATGATGTGTGTGCACTGGAATTGAAAAATATGAATTGTTGAAGGTACAAGTGGCTCAAACCTGTAATCCTAGCTACTCAGGGGGCCTGAGATCTGAGGATTGAGGTTTTAAGCCAGTCTGGGAAGGAAAGTCCATGAGGCTCTTATCTCCAATTAACCAACCAAAAACAAAAATGGAGCTTTTTTGCCTTGAGCAAAAAGCATTTCTTTGGCAGAAATTATTATATTATCATCAATTTTCTATCAATCCATTTCAGTCTCTGTTGAGTCAAAAAAATTAAAAGGCCAATCAAGTCCCCAAACCTTACTGATTAATGTAATCTCTAGAGGAATCAGTATTGTTTTGGAAGGCTATTTTGGAATCTTTTTGCCTGTTTTTTGAGTCTTTTATAATTTTTCCTACTATTTTTATAACCTTCAATAAATCTATGTTGAGTTTAAGATACGGAAAGGAAGGTAACATTAGTTTTTATGTAGTGGTCATTCTTAAAATGTGCAAACAGTTCATAAATGCTACTATAACAAACAAAAAGTTTCTGTGCAGCAAATGACAATAGTTACTAAACTTTTAAAAGACAGCCAATATCAAGTGGTAGAGTGCCAGCTGAACAAGCAAGCAGAGCAGGTACAAGACCCTGAATTCAAACCCTAGGATAAGAAAGAGGAAATAAAAAGAAAAAAATGACACACCAAAAGTATCACAAAGTGTAAATGCAAAAAATAAAACAAAACCAATTTAAAGAAATAACCTTGCTCATGTACAGTATTTTCACAATAAAAAACTTATTAATAAAAAAAAGACAGCCAATAGTCTGGAAGAAAATCTTTACCAGTTATACATCTGACGAGGGCTAATATTCATATTATACAAGGAGCCCAAGAAACTAAATCCTCTCAAAATTAATAGCCCAGTGAATAAATGGGCAAAGGAACAGAGGCTTCTCAGAAGAAAAAGAGAGAATCACCAATTAACACATGAAGAAATACTCAATATCCCTGTTTCTAAATGAAATGCAAATCAAAACAACACTGAGATTCCATCTCACCCCAGTAAGATTGACCAGCATCTAGACTTTGAACAATAACAAATGCTGGAGGGCTGTGGGGAGCAAGGAACTTATGGTGGGAATGTAAACTAGTACAACCACTCTGGAAAGCAGTTTGGAGATTCCTCAAAAAACTAACCATTAGAACTACTCTATGATTCATCAATATGACTCGTAGACATCTCCTAGAGCATTACAAGTAAGAATACAATAAAGACACTTACACATCTATGTTCCTTGCTGCACTATTCACAATAGCCAAGTTATGGAAATAGTCCAGATGCCTTATAATGTGTTCAAAAAATGTGATACCTATATACAATAGAATTTTACTCATCCATTAGAAATAATAATATTATGTCATTTTCAGGGAAATGGGTGGACCTAGAACCAATGAAGTTAGGTGAAGTAAACTGGGCTCAGACAGACAGATGGTGCATGTTTCCTCTCATATGTGGAAGCTAGATCTAAAATACAACTATGCATATACAAATATGTATAATATATACAGGGATCAGTGCATTTACATACAAACAAACAGACCAAAGGATGGTATATTTAGGGGAGGAATCCAAGGATTTAACTCCTCTGAAAAATGAATGAACTGTTTATCAAAATGCATACCAGGAAATGTAAACATGTTTCGGGGAAGGTGGGTATGTAAAAGGGAGACAGAGGAATGGAGGGAGAAAGGGTGAGCAACTGCAGTCATTATATTTAGCTACATCTTATAAAACATGAAGCATGTAACTTGAGAGTTGAAAAATGTAGAATGAAGGAAGGGATGACATTGACCACGAAGCATTAAATTCATAATAGCTTAACTTATGGAATTGTAATCCCTTTGTGCAGCTATTAGTAATAATATTAAAATGTCATAACAGTATATATATATACACTGTACTTGGTAAATTACTGAATTTTTCTCTTCTGAAATTCACATTGATCTGTCTAAACATGTATAGGAATTACTATATATATATATATATAATCAGTATCAACAGCTTGTATTAATAGTCTTTTTTTTTGGGGGGGGTCCAGTCATGGGGCCTGAACTCTGGGCCTGGGCGCTGTCCCTCAGCTCTTCAGCTCAAGGCTAGCGCTCACCACTTGAGCCACAGGGCCACTTCCGGCTTTTTTTTCTCTGCTTATGTGGTGCTGAGGAATCGAACCCAGGGCCTCATGCATGCAAGGCAAGCGCTCTACCATTGAACCACCTTCCCAGCCCTGTAATAGTCTTTTATATTTGCTGGTC